GCATACACTCGTGGGGCTGCTAGGAAGTCAGGATACTGTTGGCCACGCTGTCCCCTCTCATTCCTGGGGCTTAGGACAAACCCTCTCACCTCACCCACCCAGAGGCCTTGTTTTTCTTGGCAGATGCAACCAAGATCACTCTAGCCCCCTCCAGTGCCGACATCAACTTGGGAGACAACCTGACCCTGCAGTGCCACGCCTCCCACGACCCCACCATGGACCTCACCTTCATCTGGACTTTGGATGACTTCCCCATTGACTCCGATAAGCCTGGGGGTCACTACCAGAGGGCCAGTGTGGTGAGGCCTGGGGCCGAACCCGGAGCCCCTCTCCCTCCTTTTGGATAGATAGGGGACCCAAGATGTCCTTACCCATCCCCAAGGCCTTTGCCCCCGCCCTCAGGAGTGCCGACCATGGCAAACCCATCCTCGGGTGCATAACAATCCTCCCTTGGAGGGGCAGTTCCCTGGATGCTCCTGAAGCCCGTGCATCTAGGAGAGATTAGGAACAAACCTAGGGTTCCAGGCACTCGGCAAGACTCACGCCCACTACTGTCCTTGTTTTCCTGCCCCCAGGGCCGGTGGCATCATTAACTTGGACCATCATTGACTGTCTTGTGTAGCAAACGTTAGTCCCCAGTGGTACTAAGTGGGGGGTAGCTGATTCCTCCCATGGAACAGATGAGACCGAGATACGGGGGACCCTGGCTCGCTGCACTGGCCGGAGCTGCGTCCCCTGACCTGCGCTCTCCCCGTTCCCTGTGTGCAGAAGGAGACGGTTGGGGACCTGACCATCCTGAACGCCCAGCTGAGGCACGGCGGGAAGTACACGTGCATGGCCCAGACGGTGGTGGACAGTGCAGCCAAGGAGGCCACGGTCCTGGTCCGAGGTGATGGGCTTTCCCACTCCCACCCCACCCAGCTCCCTCAGGCCAGCTGGGCTGCTCTGACCTTCGCGCCCTACCTCCCGCCTCTCCCTGAGAGCTGTGGGGAAGCGTTCCTGACAGAAGTTCCCTGAGTGGGACTTATCCGGTGGTTCTTTATTGATCCAAAATGAATAGAATATTCTTCCTCCAAAGCCAAAATTTTTAAAATCCACTCCTAAACACATCCCAAGAGTGGAAAACTTTGCTGAGGCCAGAACTTTTCAGAGCCTAGTGCTGGGAAATCCACACACATCCCTATGTGAGGACCTCTGTGACCCCTCCAGCCTTGGACACATCCCACCCACCAGCACCCCCATTCCTCCCTCTCCCACCAGAACGTGTGTTTGTGGCGCCCTCTGCTGCCCCCGCGTGGTACTTCACCAGCCCAAACCAGCCCGGAAGAGGCTGGCTCACATATGAAGCTGCCCAGCTCTGACCCACAATGCTCTGACCTCTTGGTGCAGGTCCCCCAGGTCCCCCAGGAGGCATGGTGGTAAGGGACATTGGTGACACCACTGTCCAGCTCAGCTGGAGCCGTGGCTTTGACAACCACAGCCCCATTGCCAAGTACACCCTGCAAGCTCGCACTCTACCTGCAGGGACGTGGAGGCAAGTTCGGACCAGTAAGTGTTGAGCCCCCTCCCTGCACTGTCAGTACGGACAAGGCCTGGCTGTGTGCCAGAAGTGGGGGCCGGGGTCAGAGGCTGGGGCTGAGCCTGGAGCTTCAAAGAGGGACAAGCTTGGGCCATCTGCCTACAGCGAGCTCCCAGGCCAGTGGGGAGATGGTGTCACATGGACAGCAGGAGCGTAAGGAGAGAGTTGAAGGAGGAGGTGCTCGGTCTGCACCCTTGGAGCCCTGGCAGGAGTATGACTGGGGCAAGGACTACATGCATGGGGGTGTAGGGGGTGCAAAACACCAGCAGAGGCTCCAGGGCAGGGAGATCTAGTTTTCTGGTCATTTCTGAAAGAGGTATTGAGTGCTTAGTGTGTGTCAGGGCCCACCACGAGGGCTCAGTCCCTGCCCTCCCCATCCAGACAATAAACAAATGCCGGAACACCGACTCCTCCGTGCCTTGCAGATCCCGCCAATATCGAGGGCAATGCAGAGACCGCCCAGGTGCTGGGCCTCACACCCTGGATGGACTATGAGTTCCGGGTCATAGCCAGCAACATCCTGGGCACCGGGGAGCCCAGTGGGCCCTCCAGCAAAATCCGGACCAAAGAAGCAGGTCAGAGTCCTGGGTGTCCCAAAGAAAAGTAACATCAGGACACAGACCCTAGCCCTCCTTAAAGGGAGCCCCAAGCAAATAGCAGTTACACAGAGCTCCAACCCTGCTGACCAGGCTTCAGACTCTCTAACAAAACAGAGGAGCCAGGAGCACAGGGCAGGATCAGGCCACTGCACTGCACACTGCCCCATGCCCTGGGCCATGCCTGTCCAAGGCCCTTGTTTAAAACATGGGCCAACCTCACAACTCCATGTGAATCTACAGTATCTCAAAACAAAAAGGTTTTTTAAAATGGAGAAATCAAAGTTTAGAGAAGAGACGGGTCATACTGTCAGAGTCTGGACTTGAACCCAGGACCATCTGCCAAGAGGCTCCTGCCCACCTTCTAAGCCTTTCACAGGTGAAGGCCCAGAATGAGAGCCTGTTAGTATTTCAGACCCAGGGAAAGATCCCAGGACTGAAAAATCCCTCTGTACGCGGAGGGCAGGGAAAGACCCAAGAAAGAGGCAGGACACTCAGTCTGGCAATTAACAGTTTATTAAGGGGAATGAATGTAGGAGGAGGTCTCGGGCAGCTGCAGGATGAAGTGGATGTTCTCTGTGCTGCCTGATAGGAGCCAGAGTTATACAGGGTCATAGGGGGGAACAGTCACAGGTGTAACTAGGTACTACCAGGTACGGGAAATTACCTGCTTGACCAGGTCAGGACAAGGGCCTATTCCAGGAACCAGCAAGAAGCAGGAGGCAGGGAAGGGGTGCTGATTTAAGTCAGAATGGGTGTCGATCAGACAGTCTCTGGGGGGGGAAGGATTGGAAAGAAACCTCCATCCTGGCTTGAAGGGCAGACAGTAGTCATGTCATGGAACAGTCTCCCGTCCACAGAGCCCTGGGGTCCCAGGCAGGCAGCATGGGACCAGGACCCTGCCTGCCCTCTCCTACCCACACAGACCTGCTCCTCTGGAGCTATAGCAAGCCTTCTTGTGTCCCTTTGCATAGTTTCCTGTAGGCCCCCGCCTGACTCTCTGGGCTCCTTGTAACTGGTGCCACTCCTGAGGGAGGGATTCCAGAGGAGCACGTTCTTTGACTGGACTTCTTGCAGAGTCAAATGTGGGGTGGGGTGGGGAGCAGTCGCCCTCACTCTGGTGCCCCAGGAATTGATGAGCACAAAGGTAGCTGGGATGTAGAGGAAAGACGCTGGGCTTTGAAGTCAGAAGAACTGAGTTCACATTCGAGCTGTGCCATTTTGCTCCGTGACCTTAGGCAAGTCACTCAGCTGCACTGGGCCTTGGTCTTTCCACCCTGAAAAGGGTGACAATAATGCCCAGCTCGCAGGATCAAATGGGCGATGTGTTTAAGTGCTCCTTGCAAGTTACAAGGTCCTGAGCTACAGTCACCAGACCCAGTGATGAGCCTCTAACTGCTGGGTCATCTGCAGAAATATTTTGATCCTCAGTCAAGTTACCCGTCAAGCCTCATGAGCTGAGGAAATACATTCTTGTTTTAATATCAGCCTTGTTGAATAATAGAGACAATTAGGAAATTAAATCTGCCACAAAAGAAAAATAGTAAAACACCCTGCAACCAAAACCAAATGTTTTTGTATTAACTGCAGCTCTGGATACTCATTCCTCTAAATTAAAGCACACTGCAGTCGGTCTCTGTTATTTAGTTTAAGCCGACAGGAGGGAAGAAGGAAATGATCATTGATGAAATACACACGCACACACGCGCGCACACACGCCACCGTCTTGTTTAATTTTTCTCCTCTTTACAGCCCTCTAAGAGAAACAGTATCTTCATCTTATGGAGGGGGAATCAGGCTCAGAGAGGTTAAGTAACCTGCTCAGGGAAACACAGCTAGTAAGTGGCAGAGGTGGGATTTAATTGCAGGTCTGCCTGACTCCAGAGCCCACGTCCAGAGGGACTGTTAGAGGACAAAACCAGGGCCCATCTGAAGGGGTGTCCCCACCCTAGGACACTTTACAGGCACAGGTTTAGGGCTTTTGTTCCCTCGCTGCCCATCAACAAGCCACATCTGTGTCCCTTGACCCTGACAGCCCCCTCAGTGGCACCCTCAGGGCTCAGCGGAGGTGGTGGAGCCCCTGGTGAGCTCATTGTCAACTGGACGGTAAGCTGCATGGACAGAGGCAGAAATGTACTCTGGGGGACAAGCCTTGCCTCCCCCATCCCAGTCCGGACTCATCCCTGGGCTGGGCAGGGTGCAGAGAGGGCCCCGGCAGAGCATCGCTGAGTCCTGCTGCAGAGCAGGCACCCTCTTCCTCCCCTGGCACCCGGTGCCTCTCGCAGGAGCACCCATGCAGGAGAAAAACCAGCACAGGGGCACGAGTCCTGGGGCTGCCCCTCCCGGTGAAGTTTGGGGGGGGGGCAGGATGGGCAGGAACGTGCCTGCGGCCCCTCACAATGCCACGCTCTTGCCCCGCAGCCCATGTCCCGGGAGTACCAGAACGGAGACGGCTTCGGCTACCTGCTGTCCTTCCGCAGGCTGGGCAGCTCCAGCTGGCAGGCCGCCCGGGTGCCCGGCGCCCACACCCACTACTTCGTCTACAGCAACGAGAGCGTCCGGCCCTACACGCCCTTTGAGGTCAAGATCCGAGGCTACAACCGCCGCGGGGATGGGCCCGAGAGCCTCACTGCCCTCGTGTACTCCGCCGAGGAAGGTGGGTCCCCCCCCCATCCCAGCTGCTTGTCCATGGCGGGGAGGGGGGACTGTGACTCCCCCCCAGTTCCATAGTGGGGTGGAGAGGACACCTGGGTTCTAAGCCACTGGTCTCATTTCTAGCCCTTGCTACCCGGTCTCCCCCTCAGGCCTGGGGAAGGAGAAGGGCTTCCCGGATACCCCCCACCCCCCATGACCTTAATCGGGGACCCTGGGCTCCAAAGTTCTAAGCAGGGGGGGCCTGGTTGGCAGCTGCTCTGTAGGATACAAGGAGGCCCCAGGAATCCAAACCCATTCTGTATTGGTCCCCAGAGCCCAGGGTGGCCCCCACCAAGGTCTGGGCCAAGGGGGTCTCCTCCTCAGAGATGAACGTGACCTGGGAACCTGTGCCGCAGGACATGAACGGGATCCTCCTGGGCTACGAGGTGAGCACAGGCCTTGGGCCTGGGGAGGAAGGGATGCTGGGGTTTCAAGGCTGGGTGGGGGCACCTCACAGCTCGCTAGTCGGTCCTCCTGGGATCACTCACTCACTGACTCGGCAAACAGCACCCAGGCCGTGCAGCGCTGTGAATGCAACCTTAGCTAGGACGCTATGGCTGGCGCCCACTGGGCAAGACAGGCCTGTGGACAGCCCTGAAGTGGTGCTAGGCTGGCACCGGCACCGGAAGCCATGGGAGCCCAGGAGGGGAGGAGCAGTCTCTGGGAGGGGCATGGCCTGTCCCTTTCATGCCAGATCCCAGCTAGAGTGGCATCCTCGGGGCTGCAGAGAACAACACAGCCCACTCTATATACCAACTGATCATCCTGTCCCCAGGGACCTCTGGGCGCAGCAATTTTTGCCTGAGCCCTGGGCCCACCAATGAGCCCATACTAGGGTGCCTATGGAGTAGGTGGGGCGAGGAAGCCAAGAGGAAGGGAAGAAGAAAAGACAAGGAATGTCACTGCTTAAGGAAGAGTCACCGGCCTGGTCACTGGTCACGCGGCTAATACCATTCCAGCAGCATCAGCTCTGGGTGTAGCACAGGAGGGTAGGCGCCCCGCTGGGAGATGCCCCCAACTCTGTGGTTGGTTTGGAAGAGTAGCTCTCAGCCTTAGTATTCTGATGACTGTTGACATGGGTTTGCATTTATTGGGCAGCCATCATAAGTTTGCTGAGGGTTGGGGAATGACTTTGTGAGTACAAATATGCATCCCATAACCTTTAGCAGAGCCCCCACGGGATCCCCTGAAGGAAGACATAGGATCGGGGTCTGGCAGGCCATCGATAGGCTGAGTGTGTGCTCACCCCCCCGCTCTCACCAGCCACTCACCAGCTCCCTGCAGGGACTCACCCTCACCGACATTTCCCTGCTCTCTTGAAGCTCGTGAGCTAGAGTGCAGCTTCTGAGACTCAGGACTGAGTCACAAGGATCAGAGTGAGCAGGAGAGGAACAGAATATAGGTGGCCAGGGCCAAGGGAGCCCTGAGGTCCTGAACTTGACTGCTGACCCGAGGGTATCCCTGCCCCCTTCAGATCCGCTACTGGAAAGCTGGGGACAAAGAAGCAGCGGCTGACCGTGTGAGGACAGCAGGGCTGGACACCAGTGCCCGAGTCACTGACCTGCACCCCAACACCAAGTACCATGTGACAGTTCGGGCCTACAACCGGGCGGGCACTGGGCCTGCCAGCCCTTCTGCCAATGCCACGACCATGAAGCCCCGTGAGTCTGTTGGTCTGGGGTGGGGGGCAGGTATGGTTGCCGTGGGGTGGTGCCTCTAGGATCACTCTCTACCCCAATGCAAGACAAATCCTCCAGCCCACCAGCCTTGGGCTGGACAGAAACGAGGCGTGAGCCTAGTGAAAATAAGGGAGGAGTTCATGGCTTCTGAGCTCACAGCGCCTCTCTTTCCCAACCTTTGGATTTTCATGGGGTTTGTTTCTTAGGCAGCTGTGACAGAATGTTCTGGGTGCAACTGCTATGGCAGACATTTAGAGAAAGCTGCCTAATGGCGAGGGGTGGGTGGTGAGGAAACATTCAGAAGTCGTCCCAGCTTCCTCCCTCCTCTGGCAGCTCCACGGCGACCTCCCGGCAACATCTCCTGGACTTTCTCGAGCTCCAGTNGTGGTGAGGAAACATTCAGAAGTCGTTCCAGCTTCCTCCCTCCTCTGGCAGCTCCACGGCGACCTCCCGGCAACATCTCCTGGACTTTCTCGAGCTCCAGTCTTAGCATTAAGTGGGACCCTGTGGTCCCTCTCCGAAATGAGTCTGCAGTCACTGGCTATAAGGTAAGGAAGGGATGGGCCAAGCATTGGATGGTGAGGAACCCTCATCTACTTCCAAGGAACAAGAGGGCAGAAGGGAGCCGAGTTAGACGTAAGCGACGTGTTTGTGATTGTGAGAGGCATGAAATACACGAATGGCTCTCCAGGTGACTTGTAGTGGAGACTGAGAAAGGGGGCAGGTGACATGGCTGCACAAAGGCAGGGTTTGTGGGGGAGTGACAGGCTGGGTGAAACCTAGGGTCCTAGCCTCAGGCGTCTGCAAAACCAGTTCAGCTGCTGGCAAGCTCTTCTCCACCAACGAANGTGTTTGTGATTGAGAGGCATGAAATACACGAATGGCTCTCCAGGTGACTTGTAGTGGAGACTGAGAAAGGGGGCAGGTGACATGGCTGCACAAAGGCAGGGTTTGTGGGGGAGTGACAGGCTGGGTGAAACCTAGGGTCCTAGCCTCAGGCGTCTGCAAAACCAGTTCAGCTGCTGGCAAGCTCTTCTCCACCAACGAAGCTCCTGTTCAAGAGCCTGGTGCTGGTCAAGCGGAAACAGGAGGGGTGAGGAAGCAGGCCCCCCAGGGCCCAGAACTTCGTGGGCTCCTCCCAGTGCCTCCAGCTGAGGGGGAGAGAAGACTGGGCCCTGGGGTGACTCCACCTGCCAACCTCCCCGCAGATGCTGTACCAGAATGACCTGCACCCAACTCCCACGCTCCACCTCACCAGCAAGAACTGGATAGAAGTTGCAGTTCCCGAAGACATTGGCCATGCCCTGGTGCAGATTCGGACCACAGGGCCTGGAGGGGACGGAACCCCAGCGGAAGTCCACATCGTGAGGAATGGAGGTGCTGCCCCTCCCCACCCATTCCCCTGGGAGTATCAGGGTTCACTCAGGAGCCTGATGAGGGAGTCCTTCCCACCCAAGGCAGCCCCAGGCCAGCCAGGCCCCAAGGGGAAAGGGAAAGGCAGGGTGGAGCCAAGTGCACCCAACCCCCAAGGGCTGGGGAGGTGAGTGTGCTCTTTTCAGGGGGCCCAGGGGAGGCTGAGGACCTGAAAAGCCATGGTCTCGAAAAATGCTATAGGACTGGGGCTGAAACCACCTCAGTCCTGAAGCCTGCCCTCTATGAGTCTCCATGGAAGGTCTGGATGCCCTCCCCAG